CGTATTAGTTCTAGCTGATTTCATGTTAGTTCTACTTTCAGCGAGTGTTATTTCTAATATAAATATTAGTTCTAATGGTATGTTAGTTCTAGTTGAGTCACTGTTACTTCTACCTGTTAGTTCTAGTGGTTCTCGCATTAGTTCTAGCTGATTTCATGTTAGTTCTACTTCCAGCTAGTGTTATTTCTAATATAAGTATTAGTTTTAGTGGTATGTTAGTTCTAGTTGAGCTCCTGTTAGTTTTAGCGGTTTTCGTGTTAGTTCTATCTAATTTCATATTAGTTATACTTCTAACTAGTATTATTTCTAATATAAGCGTTAGTTCTAATGGTATGTTAGTTTTAGTTGAGCCAATGTTAGTTATAGCGGTTCTCGTGTTAATTCTAGCTGATTTCATGTTAGTTCTACTTCCAGCTAGTGTTATTTCTAATATAAGCATTAAATCTAGTGGTATGTTAGTCCTAGTTGAGCCCATGTTAGTTCTAGGGGCTCTTGTTTTAGTTTTAGTTGATGTCATGTTAGTTTTAACTTCCAGCTAGTGTTATTTCTAATATAAACATTAGTTCTAGTGGTATGTTAGTTCTAGTTGAGTCACTGTTAGTTCTAGTGGTTCTCGTGTTAGTTCTAACTGATTTCATATTAGTTCTTTTTTCAGCTAGTATTATTTCTAATATAAGCGTTAGATCTAGTGGTATGTTAGTTCTAGTTGAGCCCCTGTTAGTTCTAGTGGTTCTCGTGTTAGTTCTAGCTGATTTCATGTTAGTTCTAATTTCTAGCTAGTGTTATTTCTAATATAAACGTTAGTTCTAGTGGTATGTTAGTTCTAGTTGAGCCCATGTTAGTTCTAGCGATTCTCGTGTTAGTTCTAGCCGATGTCATGTTAGTTCTACTTCCAGCTAGTGTTATTTCTAGTGGTATGTTAGTTCTAGTTAAGACCCTGTTAGTTCTAGTGGTTCTCGTGTTAGTTCTAGCTGATTTCATGTTAGTTCTACTTACAGTTAGAGTTAAGTTAAACCTAACATGAATTAGAATTAGAACCAACATGAAGTGAGTTAGAACCAACATAAAATGAGTTAGAACTAACAAAGACCTTTAAATATATATTGTAGTTGCAGGGGTTTGAACTCCTAACCTCCTCTCCAAATTCCCAAGCTTTACCACTAGACCAAGTAGCCAAAGTATTAATGTTAGTTCTACTTAAAGTTAGCTCGAACATGAATTAGAACTAACATGAAATAAGTTAGAACTAACATGAGTTATTGCTCATGATAGAGTTTGAAAAAGGGCAGGAAATTTCCCTCCATTTTTTTCCATCAGATCGTATTAATGGGACGTGACTTTCCATATTTTTTAGAACTAGAAGCATCTGGGGAAGATAAGTGGGGGGCAATTTTGGGTTTTTTAAAAATACAATCTATTTTTTTTGTACTGCTGATATGGAGGGGCCTTGAAATATTAATGCTACTTTTTAGGGCTGAATCACATGGACCAAAATATAAGGGGCTGGGTCACATGGAGTTTCCGCTTTTGCGGCCTGGACACATTTTTCCTTAAACTCTATCTCGTAGTTTTAAGGTTTTAACCATTTAAAAATACTTTACCACAATTGTTACTCAGTTATTGGTGTTGTTATTTTTAATAATTAATGTTTCTGCAATAGGTCTCTAGTTGTTGACCTAGTTACTCAAAAATAGATGTAAAAGAAGATAAAATAATCATAAAATTTTATCATTTCGTCGCATTATAAAAGTTTTTTATATGTTTATATATAAATAGTTAAATGGTCAATATGTGAGTTTGACACACACACAAGTGTACATGCATGATTTTTTAAATAAATGTTTTAAACATAATTCATTAGTTATATTTCAATTAATTTTAATTTTTCATGCTTCATATGTTGATTGTAATCTATATCGGTAGTTTTGAATAGGCTATTCATATTGTTCATAGAACTATCATCATCATCATCCTCACCATCAACATCGTCATATACGCCTCCAACTTGCTTAGTCAGTCTTATCCATAAGCTGCCGACGAAAATTAGCATTTATTCTTAGCCTTGCACCTAAAACCATATTGAAATGATGACTCATAGACTCTAAATGTCGGTCTTTTCATAATCCACTTACCATCGTGGAAGACATCATACAACATATGTTATACAACAATAAATAATCCCGCGAACATTCTCATCATAATGAGTAGGAGGAGCACAAGGAAGAGAGAAGAAGAATATAATAAAAACTATGTTAAGCAAATCCTTTTCCCATGTAGTTAAGCAGCAAAAAAGGATTCAGCAAATAAGTACCAATCGACCCAAGTATAGAAAATAAGTAAGAAATGTTATATTACCACCCGCGGGTAGGACTTAGTGGTCAACAACCCTAAGGTAGAGGTGATCTCCATAGGTCTTCAATCCCTGCTGGCCCTGAGTTAGAATCCTCGTGCATGCATTTCATTGATCTCCCTAATGTTAGGGTAGGGAGGGAGGTCCGGGTTTTTGCTTGGTCAGTTCACACCGGCCGTTTATGTTCCCAGGCTCGAGTCCCTCTCAGTCCTCTTGCGTGCCCGGTCACTCGGGGGTTCCTTGTAGCAAGTTTAATGTTAGAATGCTGTTCGGGTAGAATTATTTCTTGTTAGATTAATAATAAACTATCATTTGCTAATGATATGTTTGTAAGATGATATATTTCAGGTATAAATAGGTACAAACAAATTATGGTTCAAAACAATGTAAAAATCAGCACGAACATTGATTTCAACCTTTCAACTATCGATGGTCACAAGACATTATCGATGGTTAAGTCAAGTCATCGATGGATTACAGGAAAAAATTGGAGAAACAGAACCTAGGTTTCGAACCATACAATACACCATCAATGACGACAAGGATTATCGATGGACTACAATCAACAATCGTAGAAATTTAGAAACCATAATTTGCATCGATGGACTACAGTCAACAATCATAAAAATTTAGAAACTAGAATTTGCATAATTGATGGACTACTGTCAACCATCCATGATCATCAATGGACAATTGGTGATCGTATTACACCATTGATGGTTAAGATGCGATTTGATAGTTTTAGCAGAATTTCAGATCTAATTTCGGCTATTCATTGATACTTTTGATCTCTTATTTGGACTCTGGTTAGGGTATCTCTTTTGTGTGCTATCAATATTTATTTAAAAGGGGAATTGAGGAAGAGCACAATGGGAATCAACAATAAGAGAAAAGGCAACAGGGGTTGTGAGAGAGTTTGATTTAAGAATTCAACCCTCGGCACCTCATTCAAATTCTTCTCGTTACGCTCAACATTGAAGGATTGTTTTAGCCTGGAGAAGTGCCATTTGCATTCAAATTCAACATCATTTCTTCATGGATCTTCATCACCATTGATTTGAAGGGAAGTTTGTTAAAAGGGCCGTAAGATTTTTTTTAATTACGGTTTAACTATATTTGGGTTAGTTTTGTATTTTAAACTTGTAAGTTTGAGGGATTACTTAAGCCGGGATAATTGAGGATTGGTGTACTCAAGACAGGTGAATTGAGGGTGTCTAGCTAGGGCTATGTTCTTTTTAGTCATTGTGAATAGCTAGGTTAGTTGACTGGTTTCGGGTATATTCCAAGGTCCTGTCTATAAAGCCTATGAAATCGGGTTGTGATTTGGGAGAACTCCAATCATAGTGAAGAGCGACCTTCGCGAAAAGGAAGAGTGGACATAGGTTTTGATCCGAACCATTATAAGAATATCGTGTGTTCCTATGTTGGTTTGCTTTTAATTTTTCGCATATTATTTCCGTTGCATATTCAGAGTTAGTCAAGAAATTGTAAGCAATCCTATTCAACCCCCATCCCCCTCTAGGCTTGCATCCTACTGTACAACAGTGAAGCCCCTCACAGTTGAAGTTGAGGTTGGGGGGATTCGAGCAATGGCCGTCAGCGGTTCAAGAGTGGGCTGACCAAGGTTTTTCTTGTCACCAAAAAATATATCATGAGCACTACAACTAGAAAACTTTAGGTAATAGGGGATTAAGCTCACACACAAAGAGTCAATTGATCCAAATTTTAATAGACTATTCCATTTATACTTTTCTCCCTCCTCTTCCACCCACCTTTCTTCCTTTCTCTTCCGTTCCACCTTACCCTTCTCCCCCCTTTTTCTCTATCTTAATGTTTGTTTGCATGGAGGACGACGAGGGCGGAGATGTCATAGATGAGGAGGAAGAAGGTAGATCTGAGTAGGGTATATTTAGTATTTAGGGTAAAAACTAAACAGAAATTATCTTGGTGCAGTTAATTGAAATTAAAAATTAATTTATAAGGTGATTTCTGTATGAAAAAAACTTTAAGTATGGTTGCTATCGACTTGACATATTCTAAAGGAAATTTTCATAAAAACATCTCTTTAAAAAATTATTCCACGTTAACAATTGTTTCAGCTCTAACAAAACTGTTCCAGTTGACCGACACAGAAGATTTTGGAGACAGAAAAGTAGCTCTAAACTTTCCTTCCAACCATTTTTTAAGAAATGAAAGTTTTAGAAATTTTGAGATTTTATTTTCGCGGTCAAACAATTTATTAGCATCAGAGTGAAGTAAGCCCAGCCCAACAAAACCCAAAAAAGCAAACTTCTTAAGCTTGAACTAGACATTGCACATTTCTAGGAGGCTAAATATCAGAAAACACCCCTTAACTTCGAACAGTTATCAGATGAACTCTCTACAAGTTTCAAAATATCAGAAAAGCCCCTTAAGTTTTAGGGGAAACCAGAAAACCCCCTTTAACTTTTATATTTTATCATAAAAGTTACAGTTTTAAAGGAGGATTTTTCCGGTAAAAATCTGAAAGTTCAAGGAGGTTTTTCTGATAACCCCTATACTTAATAGTGGTTTTCTAATATTTTGAAACTTATGGGGGTTTTATCTGACAATTGTCTAAAGTCAAGGGGGGGTTTTCTGATATTTAGCCTTTCCATTACCCATGAGTCATGGCTTGTTCGCCCTTCGATCCAGGCTTCGCATAAAGACGACCCCGCCCAATTCGGGGCCCTAGCAGATGCCCTAGAGAGGGTTCCTAAATTTGGGCGAATTTTCTCTGAGATCAAAAGCGATCGAGGAGAAATTGAGGGGGCGATGAAGTTCTTGAGCTGGTACTTGAAGATTGGTGCAGTCTCGGCTCTTGTCGGAGCATCGATGGAGCTCTTCATGATCCACACCGGTTTCTGTAAATCTCTCTCTCTCTCTCTCTCTCTCTCTCTAACCCTTGATTCGTGTTCTATTTCTCTAATTTTAGGTTTGATTCGAAAAAAAGATGATGTTTTGTTATTCAGAAAGTGTCCTTTCGAGTTCTTGGCACCATATAAGGCTGAATATCTCGTGCTAATATTTTACGAAAAAGGATTAATTTGGAGCATATGTACCGCGAGCCATGTGATTTGTGTATGCATGTGATATCCCAATCATTCATATGACCTTTTTTCGTAATTTGTCTATTTGTATTCTTGCTTGCGCTAAAGACTCGTATACAGTGGATATATTAATTGCCAAACTTAAAAGGATGAATTTCATAGTGGGTGGCATCTTGTCAGGAGTTAAGTTTATGGATGTTATTCGTATCGCTCGGGCAGTTGTTAACCTTCCATATATGCTGTTCTAATTCTTAAAGCTGAAGAATTATTCAGTGAGCTATAGGGGGAAAAAATTTAAACCTTGTTGATGCCCGTCCTCAGGTCAGGTAAAACACTTAGCCCGTCGCCAACAAGGTGATTTACTTTATTAACTCATTTTATGTTCCTTCTTCAGTTTTTATCCAATAACGCTAGAAGTCTCAAGCCTACAACATTTTTCAATGCTTATGTCCAAAATTCGTGGAGTTAGCATCCTGGTTGAATCGACATTGTTCACCCTCAAGCTCACAACAATTCAGTAGGGGAGTTCCCCTATCCTCAAAACATATATCGAGGGTCGAGAGTGAAACTGTTTTGAGTATTCAACTATTCATGTATGGGGCGTGCATGTGAATCTTCTTCACTTCCTTCAGTCACGTGCATCTATTTTCCCTTTTGCACATCCTAATGTAATTGTTCTGGAGAAGAACTATCCAAAGATCGGGTTGTGAATGGGCCAATTAGGAAGATTAAAAATTCATTTTGCAAACCTCCAAAAGGCCGGTTAAATTGGAGATGTTTAACCCTCTTGATCCCTCTTCAATCTACACTACCTTTTCCCGCTACCCTTTTCCAAACATGGACATTAAAATTTCAAATATAACTATTTCGTTTTTTTATTCCCCTTTCTTCGACTATTTGTCATGCTATCAACTTTTTGCATTTGTATAAAAGCATCAGGACTAAGTTTTTGGAATGATTTAGAGTTTTTAATTGACTTCTTCAACTTATTTTCAAAGCAAACAAATGTCGATACAAAAATTTAAAGCATAGCTTGAGACAAGACAGAAAATTACCCACCTTTTATTTATTGCATTCACACTGATCATGACCCAACTAATCCTTGGCGAAAGACATGCCAACTTGCGTCCTCATCTTGTATTGATTGAACAATAATTTGTTGATTCTATAAGTTGTCCATGTAGCTCTTACCTAACCTAAACCCTAAACTGTTAACCTGGGCAGCATCTTGATTTTTTAACTAGAACTTCGATTCTCAGTTAAGGCTTCCTTTCCAAGTGGAATCTCGATGTCCATTATTTTGTTAGCATCTTACTTTGCTGCTCCTGTAGTTTTGAGGTTTCCCTATTAATAGTGGAAATGACCTTAATGTATTTAATTTTAGGTAGCCCTATGAACCTAATATTGATTTTTAGCATGTGAATGATGGAAACACGGAAGCATTACGAATTTACAAGCAGTTTTAACATGTGCAAAGCGTTACATTTTTCGTATATTTTCTGCGATCATTTTGGTTCTTTCATGTTTTGGACTTTGGAGCACACCATGGAATTTGTTCCATTTGGAATGAAATTAAGGTAGAAATTCCTGCTTGCCATGGTCTCTTCAGTTTTGCAGCAAGCCTCTCTTGTTTGCAGTTTCCTTAGAAGACATTACACTCTTATTTTAGGTGTTGGGTAATAATGAGTCCTAAGATTTTGTTCAAATCCTTCATGGAGCCCTTAGATCCATTCAGACCAACTTTGACAAGAAATTTTGGCAATGATCGAAATGAGAGCAAATAGTATTACAACACTTATTTTTAATAATGGAACATAGCAAAAAAATGGTTGATATTCACTATCAGATGATGTTAAGTGAATTGGATTTGTGAGCTACTGCACACTTCCTCTCGATCACAATCAAGTAGTTTTGGCCTACTTACGAGCAACTACCTTTTATATACAATGACAATCATAGTTGCATAATAACCCTCCCAAACCCCCCACCACAAAAAAATTAAAAAGTTTGTCACTTTGTCGTACGGTTGCTACAAACCAATTCCCGGTACATTTGCGAATCAGTTACCTTTGATACAAGAATTTGTTCCCCAATATTGGTGTACTGCTAACAAGTACTGCTAACATGCATGATGCACATGCCCAAGGCAATGCAATGAGTTCGGCGAATGAAGTGAGGCACACACCTCACACATAATGGACAAACAAGCTTGAAGGAACATACTTATGAGTTTCACATAAAAAAGATGTCAAAAATCTTAATTTATTAATTTATGACTCAAAATGGACAATATTAACTACCAAAACACGCATAAAAGTTTCAATTAATCACATATATGCTAATATGCATACTTTAGATGGTCACAAATTGTCAAAAGATTCATAGTTTCATGCTACCTTTTCGTATTACTTTATAGTTACATTATATCCTTCGAACTTGTGTACCAAAGAAATCTACCCCCCTGGTATCCAAAATAGCTAAGTGGTGAATTGCGTGCCTAAATTTGTACCACTATCTGCTACGTACTGCGTAACATGTAACTATGATGCCAATTCCTTTAAGGACCTTGAGAGGGTAAATTGCGTCTGCAGTTGCGAACCAGTGGGAAAAGGTTTTAACTGTTCTTTATGTAAATGCTTCAGATATAGTTTTCATGGACACACTGGTCACATCCTTATATAAAGCCGTGCATTGGATTGCTCGATACTAATGTACCAAATGGATCATTGAATTTTCTCAATTCAAAGACCTGCAGACATAATATCCATAAATAATCAACCTATGCTGTCTGCAGTGATCTAAGATTGGAGTACACATGTGAGAACTCTGTACCTTAGGCGTTCTACCTTTGTAATTAAGGAGATTGCGAGATCAGTGCATGGTTAAGGACACGGACAGAGATAATAAGAGCTTATAGAATGCAGATATTGATCCAATGTTTTTCCCCTTCCTTTACTTCAGTATAAGATCTAGTAAGCCTTTTGTTTTGGCATAAATTGATTGACTGCATATACAATGTGTTTTCAGCTTTTCCTGGATGTAAAATGATTGACATGACTAAGTTTAAGCTTATGGTAGTTTTTTGTTATTTATTTTTGTATCTTTTCTTTGAATAGCCTGCTTTCCTTTTTGTTGTATTGCTTTTGGTTGTATGCAGGTAGAGCAATATAATATTCTATATTTGTGTGACCCTGGGTCTTTTCTGAGGCTTTCTACTTATCTAGTGGAAGATGATAGATAAAGATGATAGTCTGTCTCCTTGATTTTATACCATTTTCTAGGCACTTCACAGAAGACGGAATAAATGGCATAAGCTCACTTTCCCCCTCTAATGAATTTCTTTATATGAGTGTTTCAGTACATTTCTCTTCTTCCAACTATGTCCTGCAAAGAGCTCATCTGTAATAGAGGAAAGGGCTTTAAATGTTTATCATATTACTTTTATCTCCTTTGCAGATGATAAGGTGACTGTTCTGGAGTCAGAAAAGCGAGCTTGGGAGAGCTCTCCGGAAGCTCAAGCTATCAGAGAAGCTCTAAATCCTTGGAGAAAGCTTGATGAAGAAAAAAGCAAATCTTGATGTAGAGATCAGCAAATAATCATAACTTGGTAAGCTTACTGAATGTTTGAGGTTTTAGGTTCCATAAACTTAAAAAAAAACAATGGTCAATAAATAAACTTGTTAGATTGCCTTATTGATTGGCCTGAAATTATTCTCTTTAAATAATGATTTATTATCCTCATTTTGTATAAACTGCCACTGATAATATGGGATGTTGGACATGGCAATAACCTAAAATTCAGACTCGAGTACAACACTGTATATGTATATGTTGTTAATATATGTTTACTGGCATAAATAAATATATGTATACAGTTTTTTATTTCATGCATTAAAGAACCTGATCATAATGAAATTATTTAATGAAACAATTAGTTATTGTCAAAGGAGAACAACATTCTCAACTTTAACATTTTTAAAAGTGAACAGTGTGTTTACACATCTGTATATACTGGACACTGATGAATGTCATGTTTGAACGTGGGAAGGTGCAATTTTTGGTTGGGTCAAATGTCCTACATAC